CAAATTCTATAGGTAATCCTATACCTGAGGATGTCAAATTTTTTAAACTTTGCTAGTGGTACACGCAGGGATTTGTAGGCTCTCGAAAAACGAATATTATTTTTATTTTCATAGAATATATAGCTGCCTCATAATAATTGATAATGGAAAATAAAATCGGTTAATACGAGCGGATATAATTTTAGACCTGTAATATTTACATTTGATTAAAAAAATCTAAAACAACCATGTTAAAAATCTGTGCCGTTTACATTTAACGGAGTTAACCAGGAGCATTCAATTCACAGGGCATTTAATTTATCACGGTGAACGCCACTCAGGATCAGCCAGTATAATATAGGTAGGTAGACGTTCGCCAAGTTCCCTCGGAATGTTGAAAATAGTTAACATGATTAATGATTGTTCGGATCAGTCCTCGTTTCTCTATAAAAATAATAAAAGTTTCCCATGATGACGTCGACGGTGGAAAAGGATTTATAATTTATATCATTTCAAGATAAACTGCGACGATAAACGTGCAATAAGTAATAACTGCATGTATACAGGCACAAATCACGCGTGTTAGAAGGTTTCTATCGTTGTCGGTGGGAACGATTCAATCGTCATCATCATCACCACCACCATCGTCATCGAGACCGTATTAGATTATGTTTTATAATATAATTTAAAAGTTATAAGCTTGCTAAGTGCTGATAATGTATTATATTATTATAGGTATATCGTATATACATTATATATAGTGCACTATACGCACTGTATAGGTTGATTCACCAAGCATGCTCACCCTCATCTTGTTATATAATTATTTATTATACTTGGGCCATATTTACAAATTATTTATGTTGATAGATTATTAATTACTATAATTCTCAAATCACCACAGGTAACATATCGTCAATAAACCCATTACCATGGACTTTTTATCCTTAGAACACAACGAAAATTAATTAATTAATTTTGATAAGTCAAATTTTCCAGAAAAATTATTCACTAAATACTTTACGGTTGAAAAGGGTTGGCTTTTATTTGAAAAGCAGAAGTTTTTATTTCCACAGGACACACTTTAAGTAGTACAAAAAATCTCAAGAATTTGATAATGTGGTCTTTAAGTATATTTAAAAATTTCAAAAATCAGATTTTGAATGACTGCATTGTTGGAGAAAAAAGGGAATGCGCATGTTATTGGTGAGTCACCCTGTAGGTATATTATACCACACCATTCAATGTTCGTATATCATATTATATCTTCTCAATATATAATGTCAAGTTCCACTAAGAAAGGATTTTTCAAAATTTTTATTTTAAAGGGTTGAAATCGGCATAAATAAATTGTTTATGTACAAATTATATATCTATATACATATTTTACAGCCTGGCAACCTGTGGGTTTCCTTTGCGAAATGCGACCATAACTTTTTGTATGTCTAACTATGTGTTTGATCTGCGTATATATATAAATTGTTCCGAGGAGTAAAATTCTACAATCTATCTATATCTATATCTATTTATGTTATAAAAATAAATCCCTATTTCCCTTAGTCGAGGTATCACGCTTATCGCTCATCATTTAAAACAGATCCAGATATCTTCTATCTATGCTATAAAACATTAAATTTTTAATTTCTTAGTGCTCATTTCGCAGTGGAATCAATCGGAAGATTAATGAAAAATTTTACATTGTGTTTTTTGATAAGTGTTTATTCATCATGGTTAGCTTAAGCAATCACGCTTAAAATGTTAAACAAACTTAGGTCACCCGCGGGCTGCCGTACCGTACAATATGTGTATAGGTATACAATTTATTTTTGCCGATTTCAACCCTGTTTGTTTTAATTAATAACTAATTTTCCTCGCAACTTTCTTTAGTTTATTAGAACTTGGTATTTTTTAAATTTTTTTGGTTACCATTGGTTAATCTGGTAGATCGGGTTTAAGAATGTATCAAATTGAATTTTAGTACATTGCCTATCAAGGTGGCTGTTAGCTGAGTTGCACTTATAGCCGCTCATCAACTACACAATCAAAATATTTAATGAAATTAAAATTAAACATATTATTCATATAGAGTGTGCAAATAGCGGTGTCACCGGATTGGTTCCAGGTCAAAATATCTCCGGTCAAAATATCTCCGACAAAATATCTCCGATACAAAATATCTCCAGTACAAAATATCTCCTGTTAAAAATATCTTTAATGCAAATAAAGAATATTATTAGTAAAAAATATATTACTAGACCTAACCTAGAGTTGGCATTTTTAAAGGGCAACGAAGTGCAAAGGATCTGCTAGGAAAGATATAATAATGATAGAATAGATATTTGTTTCGACACGATACTACTACAATTAATTTGTCTACCGACGATCGAACGTAGCAACGGCTGTAACCGCTATATTTATGACTTTTTATTTTAAGCTACAAACTAACATAACATTTTTATTAAGTTAAGAGTTGTATGAAAAACACCGAATAGCTCAATTGTATAAATTGCGTTATCCAAAAATAATAAAATTTTTCTTATCGATGAGCTATAAACTTGTTTAACTATACAAATTATAATCTTAACTATAGAATCATTGTTTAATAACAATAAGTGTGTATAGAATAATTAGAATCATTTGAAAAAATTATTATTATTGTTTTTTTTTTGAAAGGATTTTTCAAAATTAGACCTCTAAGGGGGTAAAGGGGTTTTTTTATATTGCTAATAACACACGGGAAACGCCATGACGGGACGGACGACTACGAATTGGTTCCAGGGTTGTCTACAGGTAACATACGAATTCGTTCCACGATAATTGAATAATGGTTCAAGCTTTCATGATAATACAACCTTGTTAAATTAACTTTTCATATTATTATGATATATTCAACCAGCAAAAATTTCCTTCCCATTTATTCAGACTTACGACTGTCTAAAATTCAAATAAGATCGAATAGTTCAAACACTATTTCGAATACCTAGATATGGTTAAAAATGGTCAAACAAATATGATCTATAAATCTAAATACTTGTATATAAGTAGTACTGTTCTTATTGGACAGGAGAAAAAAAACTAAGGGAAAATAATAATTATCTTTTACACCATGAGTTGTATAACTCTGGTAGAATAATTTTGGGCAACTTTTAAAAGTACCATCAAACACTGTTTTTATTATGCTGAATATCTCTAAATTATGTGAACAAGTAAAAATTATTAATGTTATAAGATTATCCATTGTACATATACGTATCTTGTAATAGTGAGTTATATACTGATAAACTGATAAGTAATTTTATTCGGGAACCAATTCGAACAGTTGTATACTGGAAAGTATTTTTTTTTTTGGGAACCAAATCGTACTCTTTAATCGACTCAGGAATCAATTCCACGTTTGCCGACGGGACATCTATAAATAAAAATAGTTATAGAATATAATATTATATAGTCGTACATAAATTATGAGCTAGGCACTCGAGAAACATCGGCAATAGATTTAATGAGTTCGTCTAATAATAATAATGGAAATGTGTTAACACTTAACAGTATAAAATTGGGTATGTTGTTATTTATTTGAAAAAAAAATGTCAGGAATACCGAGTATTTGTGTATAATATTATATTTTATAGTTTAATTTACTCGAAATAATATTTATAACCTTCCTCTTTACAGTAGGTTACTGAATCATCCTAACCCTCTTATAAAAAATCTAGCGTCCCTTCGATCCCGGGTTACCCCTTCAGACGTCTCAAACGTAATTGGTGTCGTGACCTGCTAAATGCTTGATTACTAGATCAAATTTCTCCTAATAAACTAAACAAAATAGGTAGTGTCATCAATGGATGGCTTAAATAAAAAATAACCTTCCTGTTTGAGTAAGTGCAAAATGTTGCGATTAATTTTGTCAAAGGCGTCAAGCGAATAATATAATATTATTTATCGAAGGTGGTCTTGGTAAAGTAAAACTTGTTTTCGCTTGATTTCTTAAGCTCAAAAGTGTATTAAAAGTCGTTTATTTTTTTCGATAAAAAATATTTGAATTCGTATTAAAACTATTATTGAAAAAACAAAGGAAAGTAGATAACCGATCTGCTGTATACAGTGGGTGTCGAGTGTATTTAGTCATCGAGGAGCAGTTCACTGAAATGTATGTGTTCAATTTGTATTTAATGATAATTAACAATAGATTACATACGAAAAACGATTCTGAGCTAAGACAGTTTATATTATACAAATATACTAATTAAAGTATATTTTTAATTTTATGATATTATATATGTATTGCTATTATTACAGTAATTTATTTTAGTACTATAGTAGTAGGGTAATAGTGTAAAACAGTAGGTTGAATTCATTTTTGACGAAAACATCGCGAGGTTAGGTTATTATATAATTAATATTAAATTATTATATTTTATAATATCATCTATACCATATTGTATTATTATTATTAACTTTTGAACTGATACAGACTTACTATAAAATGGTGTTAATTGGTCCGTGGTAGAAATATAGAGGAAATAACATTAATCTAAATGTTTTCAAAATGCCATGTTTTATGTGTGCATAAAGTATAATAATACACTCCCAAGGTTCAAATTCCCATGAATAATATTTTTGATTTTCAGCACAATAACTGAAATTGTTCTTCTTGCCTGGATATCGATATTTTGTCCAAATTTCAGCTTCAAATGTCTATGAAACAAAATAGTATTTATATATTTAAACATTTTTTAAGTTTCAGTATACAAGCTACTTTATGGAACCTTGTTTTAAATAGTGAAGTCTTAGATATAAGCAAATTGAAAATTTTATAAAATGTATTTAACTTCAAAGGAATTTTGTCGACAATAAAACCTCATGATATCATATGATAATTATATTTCAAAAATAAATAATTGCAAACAAAAATATAGTTTTTGAGTCTATTAATTACAATTCAACCAACCATAACATTTTAATTCATTACATTATAATTTATATGTATAAATTATTAGAAGCTTACACGTTTCCTGTTTTAGTCGTTTTTCGGTCGGACTTACAACAACCTGAGTTCGATATCGGAATGCAAGAACAACGGCGAGTGCGTGATCAACAAGAAGAACAGGACGTCGTGCAAGGCGTGCCGGCTGCGCAAGTGTCTGGTGGTGGGCATGTCCAAGAGCGGCTCCCGGTACGGTCGGCGGTCCAACTGGTTCAAGATCCATTGCCTGCTCCAGGAACAGCAGCAGCAGCATCATCAAAATCACAACAACAACAACAACCAGCACCATCAGCAACTCCCACACCACCACCAGCAGCTGCAGCAGCAGCAGCAGCAGCAGCATCAACAACTCTCGCATCAGCAACAACAACACAGGACATCCGCGGGCCTGAATTTTCAGCAACAGTCGGCGGCGGGTTGCAGAGTGTCGCTGGATCAGGGCCGGACGCCACCGCTTTGGGCGGACGTCAAACACCACTTGCGCCTGGACGCGGACAACAACAACTCCGTAGCCGGTGACCTGAATAAAGACGGCGCCGCCGGCCGGCTGTCCGTGTCGGCTGCTGCCGCCGCTGCGGCCGTCGTGCAGGCTGTCCGACCGGAACTGCTGCGTTGGCCCTCGCCGTTCTTCTCGGCGTTTCCGTTCCCTCCACCCGCACCGTTCTTCCTAGCCTTACAGCAGCAACAGCAGCAGCAGCAGCAGCAACTGCAGCAGTCACCGCAGCCGCCAACGCCGCCTTTGCAATCACGCGGTCACCGGTCATCGCGAAGTCCGTCGTATCGGTCGTCGACCGCAGACGACGACAGCGGTGCAGGTGACCGTGACGAAGACGGCGATGACGACGACGACGGGCCGCCATCTTCCAAGCGCGTCGCCGTCCACCGTGACCCACCGCCGGTCCAGGATTCGCCGATGGACCTGTCGGTGACCGCGACCGCGTCCACGCCGTCTCGGCCGCCATCCCTCGGTTCCCCGTCGCTCCTCCCGTACGTCGGCGGACGATCGCCCGGCCACAGCCCAGAGGACCGGTTGCGCCGCAGGCGGCGGCGGAGACGGCATCTGCAGGTAGACTTCGACGCTGCTGTCCGGACGTCCGGTTCGGACAACGACGACAGCGCGGCCGGAAGTGACTCGGCGTCATTGTCAGACTCGAACGGATCGGTCGACGGCCATCCAGAGCCGGAGAAAAACGCGCCTCTGGACTTGACGTGCAACCGGTCGTAGACGAAATTTTATCTCTAATATTATTATTAGTATTATTATTATCATTATTGTGTAACGTAATAAGATTTTCGGTGTTTTTTCCGTTCTATTTTCTCTCTCTCATTATCCGTCTCTATTTCCTACGAAATGTCGCTCACTCTGTATCATAATGTAATGACGTAAAAACCACGCTGAATGTATGTTAAAATACAATTATTATCATTATACTATTATTATTATTATTTGTATATATATATATTGTATATAATATTATATAGTGTTATATGGCGAGATCGAATCGCTGTTCACGTGTACGTAAACAAATTGTAATAAACGATGCGTGTATAATGTGTTTGTCGAATTATTCCCGTTCCTATGCTATCCTTCGGAGAAGTAGAACTTGCTATGACTCTGCACGTGCCTCAGGTAACCAAATTTTAACGGCATGTGAAAATATTTTTTTGTTACACGTGTACAGTGGAAAGTTTAATTTTCAATACCAGTATGATGAGATCGAAAATGACCTTTTTCTGTACTCCAGACAGAAAAATATCATTTTTTTCCTGCCCGTGGGAGAATGTGAAGTAGAAATTCCGATAAACAGAAGGTGGTATAAGTATAAAGTGGAAATACCCCACTACACAGCGGTCTTACTGTCCAAATCAGATTGAAATATATGTATACAAGCTGGACCCTAGCGGGTCATTTATTGATTAATTGATTAATAAATATACGGCCAACCATTTGGGCTCAGAACCCCTTATTTTTCAATTATTAGTACGAACAAAAAATAAAATACATAACCACATGTGCTTAATATCTAAATGTAAAATATTTAATAGGTAGGTACCGTTACAACTAAATCAACGGTTTTAACCTAGTTAAGTTATCATGAAAATATCATTTATTGAGTTAAGTATACCTGAAAGGTTTTTCACCCCCTGCAGCCCTGATTTTCGGCATAATGTGTTACCATATTATCAGCTATTGTTCTAATACTTTCATCATCATAGAATATAAAAGTATAATAATACCATGGCTTAAATATACAAGGTTATTGCACATAGCCAAATTGTTATCAAATAAAAATAAAATGGCAGCGTAAGGGTACGGTCCATATCGTAGCATATAATATCATAATATAGCCAGTATACGTTACTATACGTTACTATACGTTATTACGCTGCCATTTTAATTCCATAACGTGATAAAATGATATAATGGGGGTACTATTGCAATAACCTTGTATATTTAAGCCATGAATAATACAATATACTTAATATTATATAATATTGATCGACTCAGCATTATTATAATATTATCGGATTGTGAAATCAGGACTGAATAGTGTGCGGCTACCAATTCCGATAGATACATAATTTTCATTTGCTTTTTAATCGAACTGACTGAAAATGTTGAAAAGCTCGTTACAGGCTGAAAAAATGAATTAGAGTGCCTGATTGTACCTATATATAAATATAATATTATAATGTAAACGTGATTTTTAACCTTAAAATATAATAAAATGTCAAAACAATGATGCCATCTTTCGATTATTCGTGTGCGTCGTACATGACAAATAGTAGTTATTATTATTTATATTATTATAAAAACGGAGATCGGAAGACCAAGTAGTTATAGTATTGTACTATGCTTACATAATGTATCATTTGACTTACTACGAAAAACACATCTTCTACCTACTTCCGAATATGAGTGGGATGGAGTGAAAAAAAAAATACTATAACTTTTATGTTCCAACACATAATATATTTTTGATAAAAAATAAAAATACTATTGTATGGGAAACAACGAATATTATACAATTAAGTCCGTGGGACTGATGTGTTTATAATTTATGGGTATATGGTCAAATAAACATTGAGATTTATATTGCTGTTTCGGACGTTTTTACTTTTTTTAGTAGTTTATACTTTACAGCCTTTCAATATATTAATATTGCGACTCTTATAATATTATTTGCGTACGAACCATATATTAGTCTATTTAAATAAGAGTTTTGATAGATTTTTTCAGCAGTCAACCGTTTTCCTTCTTTAAAATATACCAATCTGGTTTATCATAAGAAACCACGTTTTAGATTCCATATTGGTTTTTTTTATAGAAACGCCGCAGAAATATTGTGGAAATGTGAGCGTCCAAGTCCCAGCACTAGTTCTTTACGAAGACTGCTGTATGTGATATTTGACTCATGAGATTTTTGCAAAAACGGCACCGTGTCAAAGTAGAATTTTTTGAGGGTCTAAAAAAATGGTTTTCCCACCCAATGCAGGATTTAGAATGATAAAAAGTTTTTAATGATGATATATTTTATACTATTTGGTAAAAAAAAAACCTGTGGATGGGTTGTCAATAATGGTGGTCTGCCCCAGGTCAATTATTTTCATGAAAATTGTTCATCACGCCACTGCCTTTGGACTACGTTTAAAGTCCAAACGTCTTGATAAATATAATATATTATATAAGTACTCCGAACAGTCCGAACACTCGGAGTTAAATGGTAATATTTCTGTAAACCGACCACTGGGTATAGGTCGATATAGCGCGTAGGTTTGGAAACGGCTGCCTGCTTTGGTTCGGAGTGAAGCATGATGTTTCTGTTTTATGTGTGTGAAACGACAATAATTTGACGTGTAAAATCAGATGAGGTAAAATGGATTTAATACAATAAAAAGTTTTTAACAATATTATTATAATTTATACTATTGGATTAGAAAAAAATGTAAACTCGATGAAATCGGAGAGTTTATAGTTGTAAAGGGAGATTTTCGTTTGAAAAACAGAATTTTGTTCCTTCACAGGACATTCCTAAAGTATCTAAAAAAATCTTAAGAATTTGAAGATAATGTCATGAAGTATATTTTAAAATTCCAAAAATCAGATTTTGAACAACTACTGCATTATTGAAGAAAAAAGGGGGTGAGTATGATCGGTGAATCACCTTGTACAAGTACTCGGCGGTAATGTTCATGAAATCTGACCAGTAGGTATAGGTAGGATACGCGTAGGATCGTGATGTTTCTGTTTTACGTGTGTGAAACGACAAATCGAAGTGTAAAATCGGGCGAGGTAAGTCCGAGGACGTTATCGCGTGCATACATAATATTTATGTCGGCTCATTATTTATTTGTCTAATAAATTACGTGTATCGTATCGTATACATGCGCTTGCGCAATAAAAATAATATGTTCTCGCAAAATCATATTATGAAGATAATATTGTTGGAAAGTCGAGTGAAAAGTAATATTTTCACGGTTGTGCATACGCGTGCATAATCGTGTGTTTATTATATTATTATAGGCACACGACACTGTGTACGTAATGATAATAATAATTATTCATAATAATCTCACAACGTCCGTCCGCTGGAAACGTTCCCAGAAAAGTCGGAAAACTATATGAATAATTAATAACAACATATGAAATATTATTATTATACTCGTATAGGTATCTGCAGCAGTGTTTAATAATATTGACGTCTAATGAGTAATATCGACCGTTGTTAATTAAATTAGACACTTTGCGCATATTAAGTGATAAGTCTCATTATAATTGTCGTATGATTTACGATCGACTGTTAAACGTTCGCAAGCATAATATTACATACAATTATGGTTGATATTATGTTTAATTTATAAAAAGTGATTTGAATAACGTCGAATCAAATCTCATCAGTATTCCGCATTATTGAGGATGAGTGATATTTGGATAACCACCTCAATTTTCGACATTTCAGTGCGGTCTAACTACATATTATATATCATTGTATCTAGGTACGTATTGTGAATATCAGGTACCACACAAAATTTGTGTTCAATATACTTAAACCTATTATATTATATTGACTTTAAATCAAAACACTCTACTTTATTCTTACTGAGAAATCCACAGTTGATACTCTATTGTTCAATACAGTTTTTACACCAACAAAAATAAAGATGAGAAAAATAGGAAAAATATAAAACATACAGTTGCATTATAGTGTATAGTGCATCTTAAATTCTTACAGCCTCCATAAAAAATACTATTTAAAAAAAATATATACCTGTATTATTATCTGGTCCCAAAAATATGTCGTGTACACTTAAAAAAATAATCACTAGGCTTATATTATATCATATATTCATTAATGATGGACAATTATTAGGCACAGATATATTTAAAGGTAAATTATATTTTTAATTTGTATCACTTATTCTTTTTACTCGTTTATAATTGTTAATAGATATAACTTCAAGTTACATATATGATATATCAGCATTCAGTCGTATATATTATTATTAGGTAGGTATGTGTGAAAATTGTATGAAAGCATTCGTCATTTGTGTAACTAACGAATAAGACTTACGGGCACTGCAGTGAATAAGAAATGTGTACTTCAGGTGACGATTGCTCGATTTGTATTTTTTTGATTTAGTTCGTAAAATTATCCAAATATAATGCAGAAACACTGACTCTTCTCAAAAATAAGAAACGGACTAGGTGTGATACATACGAGCCGGGTGTAAGGTAATCGACTTACACTACTATAGTTTTGAAACATTTTACAGAAGTTTTTAAATAACACTTTGAGAAGTCTGAAAAAAAAAACAGTTTTTTTTTATTAAAATTGTTTAAATATTTATATAAATGTTGGAGACAAATGACTGATAAATTGATCAATAAATATAAATTGTTTATTTAAATCCCTGAGATATTTTTCCTCTTACATTTGGTGGTCAAACTCGTAATCTGCAGTGCGTGTAGGGTGTCGATAATAAACGAAATAAATTTCTTCAAATAAAACTAATAAACGACTTGTTCCTTTTCACATTTTAAAATGATATGATAACAAATTTAGAAGAATTATTCTTCTTGCGTCAACGACAGTGGTACCACAGAATAACCAAAAAGATCAAGTCTTAATCTTAATAAGTCACAGTCCAAGTTCACTGCTACGTCGTGTGTTGTGCCGTGCGAGGAGGTGGTAACTACATGGTTATAACTAGTAACCAATATGGTCTAAAAGTGGAGCTGTAGTCAATTATAGGTATACTCGGTTGCAACTTGTTTATTACATGGTTCCAAAAATTTAATGTCCAATCACAATGCGATTTGATTAACACGACGTTGCTGTGAACCATAGAGTAATATAATATTACTCTATGCTGTGAACAGTGTGAACACGCCTTTAATGAGAGCTCGAAAATCAGTGAAATCTTCGTTGTATCAGTGTAACCGGTATTCGGCCATAATTATGAATTCCCTTTTGCTGCTGAAACTGGTTCTACACATTTTCTATGTTTTAATCGATGTTTATTGTATCAATAAGTAATGTTATTGTACCA